TTCGTGAGAAGTCTTGGAGTGCGGTATCTCCGAGCAAAGGCGTTGAGGCTCGTGTGACTCGAGTTCTCAAGTTGTATCGGTTTGTTGAGCACCTTTAAGCTTAACGGAGTTAGTGTAACTCGAGAGAGTCTCTCGAAAGGCTGGATTAGCCACACGTTGTGGTGAACCAGGATAAAATTCGGTGTGCTCCTTCCTTACGCTCTTTACTTTATCACTCTCATTTTTAATTTCCTGCGATTTTTTTTAAAATGCTATTCACCCCCCTCTAGCGTTGGGCCTTTATTCTAACAAATCCCCCATGCAGGATAAGCCGAAACAAAAGACAATTTCAAAAAAAGAGGCATATAACAATATTGTCAACATTCCCTTTACATAATTCTAAGAAACAAACTAAAACAGCATTAAGCAGACAGCCATCATTAGGGTATAAAGAGAGTTATCTACTCTTCGGCAGACACCTCTCCACTATTGTTGTTGTTGTTGTTATTGTGCTTCCTTGCATACCTCTGGTTCCTCAGGAACTTAGGATCCACCCCTTTCGTGGAGGAGTTGCGGTGAACTTTAGGCTTCTTGATGCCATTTGGTATATTCTGATTATATACTCGAACACATGCAATTCCATATATAGGGGTGAGATCATGTGAGAAAGGCTCCTAGTGAAAGAAATAAGAATGATGGAGAGCCCTTGGATTTGGACGAATGGATGGCTGTGATTGTTCAATCACATATTAATGAATGGTGGGCTGCACATGGTAAGTTTAAAATTACTTGTTTTAAAAAAAGGAAAGCAGCACAAATGGGGTATTTTTGCCATTGAAAAGTGCACACGTGCACATCCCAAAAAGAAATCCCGCAGGGTATTCCTATTTTGGTGCTACTTTTGAGTAGGAAACGCAGAGGCAAAATTCACACTCCAATTTTGAGAGGGCTCTTGGAGTTGTACACTGCAATTCGAGTTCTTGTGGCTATGGCAACGGGGAAAAATGTTAGCGATAAGAGTCCGACACCTTTAACATCGCCGGAAGAAGGAGGTAATGTTTTATACTTAATTTTTTGAGAAATTTAAGATTATGGTATATTCTAATTTGAACAAGTAATTGCATGTGTTCCAGTAGGGTTTCGGATGTGTTTGGTAGTTGCGTTTGTGAAAAACGATGCACATAGTTTATTTTTTATGTCATTGATTTTGGAATGGGGGGGAGTGGGTAATATAAAATTGAGGATTCTAGGTCAAGTTTTTTTAATTTTTTTTTTGGGTTTTGGTTGAGGATGGGTGTAGCATGAGTTGTTGATTGATAAAATGTCATCAGTGCTTTGATGTTTTGTATGATGCATTTCTAGGGTTTTGTTGTGCATAATTGTGGTATTTGTGTGTGTAGTGGTGGAGAGGGTTCGAATTGAAATTAAAGTAATTGAGTTTGAAATTTTTCAGAAAGAAAGATTGGGTTTTTAAGGGATTGATTAATTGATGTTGTGATATTTAAGGTATATGGTACTGTTTAGCAGCATTACTGTTTTTTAATCAATTTGTAGTCTTTTTGAAGCAGAGTCTCTGAAATAGTAAATGTTTAGATGGATTGCTGTTTCTGTAATCTATTTCAATTGGAATGCATTGTCTTTGATGATTTGTGCATTTGGTGAGTTTAATTAAGCATGGTAGTGCATTTAATTATTATGGGTTTTGGGTGAGGATGGGTGTAGCAGGAGTAGTTGATTGATAAAACGTCTTCAGTGCTTTGATGTTTTATATTGGGTTTTGTTGTTCATGATTGTGGTATTTGTGTGCGTAGTTGTGGAGAGGGTTCGAATTGAAATTAAAGTAATTGATTTTGAAAATTTTCAGAAAGAAAGATTGGGTTTTTAAGGGATTGTTTAACTGATTTTCTGATTTTTAAGGTATATGGTTCTGTTTAGTAGCATTACTGTTTTTTAAGCAATTTAGTGCAATTGGTATAGAAAATGTTTAGATGGATTGCTGTTTCTATAATCTAGTGCAATTGGAATGCATTGTCTTTCATGATTTGTGCATTTGGTGATTTTAATTAAGCATGATAGTGCATTTAATTATTATGGGTATGAATTACCTTTATTTTTTGAGTAAATAATTGGTTCTAAAGATGGTTTGAAGCGCAAGGTCTGTGATGGAAAGAATATGTGAAATACATGGGAAAAGATATAGGTCCTTAATAGCATGAATAAGTATCACAAGTTTGCATTACAAGCTGACAGGAATGCATTACCAACCATTCTTATAGCATGAGTATGGATGTTGTTAATATCTTTTAATGTGTTTCATGTGTTTGTGACTTCACAGCAGTCCAACCCCTATTCCTTAATAGATGTAAAAAGAAGGTACTAAAGACACAAGATAACACTCCACGAAGGAGGAGTGGAAGATTGCAGAGTGTTGTGTTCAGGATGAAAAATAAGCTGCGTGGGGGGCCTGAGAGAATTGATCTTGTTGGTGAAGAATCAACAACGAGTGGGGGGTCTGCTGAAGTTGAAGGGCTTAGGGATGAAACAGAGAAAGAAATGGAAGAGATTCAAATAAATGCTCAGGTAGATGGTGAGAGGGATGATTTGCATGATGAGAATATGCAAGCTGGGCAGGATGTAGATGATGCAGATGGGGGTGAAAATAGTGCATCCCCCTCTAGTGTGAGGAGTGATAGTGATGCTGAGGGAACTGATGAGGAGGATGGGGATGATGAAGCTGGAGAAGGCAGTGATGAGGAGGAGGCAGATTATGATGATAAAGAAGTTAGTGATGCTAATGAGGAGGAATCTGAAGATTGCGAGGGGGAGATAATAGTGATGAGGTTGAAATTGCTGGTGTGCAAGATGAACATAGCAGTGAGCGGGTTGCATCGGAGAAACGGGAAACGCCTAGAGTAGTTGGTAAAAGTGTCCAACGTTCACGTGCAAGATCAAGTCAGCGTATTGAGAAGGGGGGGGAGAGATTACAATTGAGGAAAAAAGGGAGGACTGGAAAGAAGAAATTGGTTGATATCAAGGCACCGTATGGGTCGTTAAAGACAAGGTCGACACCGCACGTATTAATGAAAGCAATAGAAGGGATGAATGATGTGCAGCGTGCCGCTGTGGAAAAGATTGGGTTTGGGTCAGTTTTAAAACTTGATATTTGGGAGTTGCCATCGAGGTTGGGACTTTGGGTAGTGAGTAACTACGATGCTAGGAGCAGCTGTCTAAAACTTCTGGACAATAGAAAGATGCACATAACTGCTGAGGATGTTAATACCGTCTTGGGGTGGCCGATTGGTGGAGAGCGCATTCCTAATAACAAGCGTAGTAATGACAAGTTGTTGTTGGAGGAGTGGAGACTAAAGTTTGATACGACGGGTATTGTGGAGAAGATGCTGCAGTGCACAGATGGCGGGGAGTGGTTTGTGAGGCATTTTGTGACACTTATTGTGTCGGTTCTTGTGGATAGAACGTCACACGGTTACGTGAATGCCTTGGTGTTGGACCATCTGAGAGATGTGGGGAGAGTTCCAAAATTGAATTGGTGTCAATATGTGCTTGACAAGCTGATTGAGAACAAGCTAAAGTGGGAGAAAAAAAAGAAGCAGTTATTCAGTGGTCCACTGCTCTTTCTAATGGTATAATCTAGACTTGTGTGTATTGTGCATTTTTTAAGTTCCACCATGCTTATTAATGATTTTATTATGCAGGTCTTCTATGTTGATCGTGTTTCTGATTTCTCAAGAACAGTTCCTAGGACATATCCAGCTGTGTTGGCCTGGAGTGGAAAGGAGCTGCGAAAGAGAGAGAACAGTGAGGTTGTTGAAGGGGGATTTGGTTTAGGCCATGATGAAGGACGTATGAGTCGTGAGATACGAGAGGAGGTGAACAGAGAGCTGATTGAGAGAGAAAGGAAGGCTACAGAGGAGAGAGATAATACAGATCATGAAAATGTAATCATTGAAGATTCAGAGGAGGTAAAGTTTGTAATATATACTCAATGACAAGAATGGTGTTATGTTATATCTAGTTAGGCCAATTTTAAACAATTATGTGGTGTTTTCCTTTTACATTTTATCTAGATTCTTGTAAGGAAAATTGCGGACAAAAGCAAGATCCTATCAAGCACAGTTATTGATCTACTAAAAATGATTCAGGATGCACCAAAGTCGATTGGAAAGAATTTGATGTTTCGTAAGATGCGTAATGTGTGCCATAGAGTAATTGGCATAAATGTTGAGAAGAAAGATAATTTTGAACAAGGTGTTGAGAATAACGATATAGACATGTTCGAGGATTCAGAATTCTGGAGTAGTCCTGAGGTTTTGGCAGCGGTTGATAAGGCGGAAAAGGGAGCGGAAATGCGGAAGAAGTATGAGGATTTTATAAATGATGTGCCTTCTTTCAGTCTAGGGATGACACAGGTTCTTGAAGAAGAAGGTGGGGGTGTATCCGAGATGGAAAGCACGTGTGAGATCCAGAAGAGCAGTGAGGTGAATGATGAGATGACGCCAGCGAACATCACTCATGCTGATCCTCACAACACCCCGAACATGGCTGGTCCTCTGGACACCCCGAGCATAGAACCTGAGCAGAACAAAGATATAGAGCAAAATAAAGGGATGATTGGTGCAGAATGTGATGCAGTGCAGAACAACCAAGATTCGAACGATGAGGTATCACAAAGTTTTTGTACACATTGCGTATATACGTTACATGATTGCACCTATTTTGATGAACTTGTTGTCTGGGTTTCATTCTAGATGGAGGTGACGGTTGAAGAGAGAAGAGTTGAAGGAGGTGTTGGGCTGAAAAGGAAATTTGATGAGGTATGATAATTGGTTATTGAATAGATGACATAAATATGTTCGGCCAGTCGTTTATTTTGTTTTGAACAGGTTGTCCAAAATGCAAGAGATGAAAGGGCAAGAAGAAAGACCAAGAAAGCTTTAACGTTGAAGTCACCTTACCTGACATGGGTGATTGATCCAAGAGATAATGTGAACACATTTGAAAAGAATTTTTGGAAGTGGGTTGTAAGCAAGCAAGATGCTGACAGGTTTATGCTTTAACTATGGTTAAACAGTGCATCATATTAGGAGATTTAAAGTAACATTCTTGAACTTGGTACTGTAAACTTATATAGGAATGACATTGTGTTCAGTGGGTATAATATATCGGTTAAACGTGGAGACCTTCAGACGTTGGCGACTGGCCATCACATTTCTTCACGGGTAGTGGATGCTTGGTCTTGCATATTGAATCACAAGGAGTTGTTTCGTAGTGTTGCATCTCCAGACCGTTTTTTTGCGAAAACAATTAGATGTGTATGTTAGTTTCTAATTATACACTTAAATATGCAGCTTATTTTAATTTTTGTAGCTGCCTGGAGGTGTGTTATTATACTATTAATACAATTGCAGATGTTCATGAGCGAGGGGGAGATGGAAGAGAATGCTGATGCTTTTAAGGTCATTTGTGATGCATTGGAATATGGATGGAGCTTGACTAATCCATGCGATGTTGATATGGTGAGATTATTCATGTCTGTGCTTGGTCTAATGCTTGCGATGGTGGTATGTTTATTTACAGTATATGCATATACTGTTCAAATGCATAACATGTTCTTAAATGTGCAGATATTCTTCCCAGTAATGCAACACCGTTGGTGTTATTGCATATGTGTGAACCTGAAGGGGAATGGGGTTGATATTCTCGATAGCTCATCAGCAGGCGTTGCAAAGATTAAAAAATATGACAAGATGCCAAGCGTTGTTGTAACTAGAAATTGATAGCACGTCACCCAAATTATTAAGTGGGATACAGATCTGTTATAATGTAATGAAGCCAATTCTAAAATCTGATGAGAAAAACGTAATTCATATTGTAATGTTTTAGCATACCATTGATTGTAGCGAGACATGGTCGTAAAATATTTCAAGAGTAAAGGACTGGATGGCCGGGTCGAGAAACTGAAGACGCAAGAACCGAAACGATTGCAACTGGCGTGGAGAGATTCGACTGCTGTATTCGATTATGGTGTGATTACAATGTGGCACATGGAGACGTACACAGGGCAGGAATTGAAGCAGTGGGAATGTGGCTTGAAAAAGGGGGATGAGAGGGCGGTGAATGCACTTCGTACAAAGTATTGTGCTGCGATAGTTGAATCAGATATCAACGAGGTTAAGGACAAGATAAGGCAGCTGGTGAAGCACTCGAGTGGTTGAAGACTACATGACTTGATTACAAATTCATGTTTCTGATGCCTGACTTTTTCATGGGGATTATGATCTATTCTGTTTTTTTCTAGAATTGTCAATTTCGTATCCTTTTGAGTTTTGGTTTCATGGAGCAACCCTTGAGTGAGTCGTTGCTGGCTTGTTCATTTAGCTAGATGGGGTTGCATTATTGCTCAGTATGAACATAGATAGACATATTTTTTTGGTATTTATGAAGAATTTGAGTATTGACTTAACTGGACGTCAATTTGTTGTGTGAATCCGTTTCTTTGCATTGTAATTTTACATAATGTTGGAGGGGATTTTGATTTTAACATGTGAATGTTTTTCGATTGGAAAGTGTTTAGTGCAGAATTTGTTGCAGCATTTTGTTTTATTGGTGCGTCCTGAATTTGTTTTAGTGCAACCCAGTAGCTGTTTAGTGACAGGTACAGTTTTTGACAGTAGTGATTTCTGTCAAACGTATAACAAGTTGGGTGAATAAGTAAGAGGCGTTCCAAGTAGTCGATCTGTTGGGACTTGTTTGGTGCAGGAATTGTTACAGGTGATTTGTTATTGGTGCGTGAAGGAAATGGATTTAGTGCAATGTAAAGTTTGTTTAATGGGGGTCCACACATGTTTAGAGCCATCAATGTATGTTTGATAGAATGAGAAGTCTGTGGGGCAGTATTGGATCAAAATTGTAGATTTAGATGTAGTGGAAATACATAAAGTGTGTGCATTGATGATTTTGTAATTACTATATTAATCAAAATTGCAATAATACACAATTCATAGGCAAACAAATGGCATGTGACGTTATAAAGAATGTTGAAATCATTACAAATACTTATAAGATGTGTGTAGGAAGATGATTTAATTATGACGAATAATTCATCGGACAATTCCTACTGTCGTGATATCCTAGCTCTTTGCAAGTTCGACACATGCGTTTGTTCTTCTTGCTTTGCTCGATTTGGATCTCTTTAGCACTCTTGATGCGCTTACCACTGCCCTTGTTGTGCGCGGGTTGAGGTGGAAGCACTTTTATCTCTGACGGGGCAGGCACCCCACAGTAATTTTCAAAGATATTAGGTACTCCAGTATCAACATCATGAGAGGCAATAGACGATTCAATGAGTTCCTTTTGTTCAGAGATTACCTTGGAGAAAGAAGATAATAAGTCGGAATTGTTTTCAATTAGAGCAACACAGGAGTGAATGTTAGACCATAAGCGGTTCAGCATTAATTTGTTTTCGTCAATGGATGATTCCGATGCAAAGTCCAGACCAGAAACTTCAATCATTGGCTTTAGGAGTGGTGATTTGCACCACCTATTTGTGATATAACGTTCTGGAATCATTTTAATTTTCAAGACCTTGAATAGCAAAAATATGTGTCTACACAGTAGACCAATGCGCTGCCAGTATTTGCATGTGCAAGAGAAAGAGTCGTCTAAGGTGGAGTGTTCAACGTTGAAATCCATACCTCGGGAATCCTGCACAACATACGATAACGTATGCTCCTTCTTGTCAACTTGTAGCACACTGCACGAGAAGCATGATGCGCATATCTCTGGTTGTACTTCGTAGAAGATGGTCAAAGTGTAGAAAAATGATGCATGTTTCTCGATGGCAAGCGGAGTTTTGTAAACAGGGATACACGCTTCTGAGTCTGAATCCAAGTCTGCAGTTTTATGCCGTTGAGAGTCCATAGCACTTTCAAATTGCATATAAAACTCGACAAGAGTGAAGTAGTTATTTTTGAAGTCACCAAAAAAACTATTCTCGCTCTCAGAACGTGATGTTGTGCGCAGTAAACCAATCATGAACAAATCTCTAAAGTATACAGGAATCCAGCTTGTACGAATAGCAAATAGATTACAAAACCATGAATTAGATTCGAGCTCATAATCAACTAATACCTCGTGCCATTGTTTTTCCCACTCTTTGGGCTCAAGGTAATGATTCCATATCACAGAATTAAGCCTTCTCAAGAAGACCTGATCTTTGGCTAGTTCATTGTCAACTTTGGCCGTAATCTTGTTCGTAATATGCCACATACAGAGACGATGGATTGTCTTTGGGAATACTTCTGGAATAGCAATAGCCATATAAGCATCTTGGTCAGTGATTATGCATTGCGGGGCATGGCCCATTGCATCAAGGAAGCGATTGAACAACCACGTGTATGAAGGAACATCTTCTCTGCGCAGCAGACCAGCTACAAAAGTAACACACCTGCGGTGGTTGTCTACACCGGTGAATGGCGTAAAAACCATTTTGTACCTGCACCACGGGTAACACACCATCACCAAAGTAGTTCAAACACTGAAACCGCGTATTTAGTGCGTTACGTAAATATGATAATGCAGTACATATTACAAAAAATGCGAAATAGTAAGAATATGTAATAACAGAAGGTCTGCAATGCATATTGACAGGGCTAGTTTAACAGTATTCTTAAAGGCATAACAGAAGGCATTAAAGAATATACCTATTTGTGTTGAAGGTTACGTCAAACGAAATGACGTCTCCAAACATTGCGTACTTCTTCCTAGCGATAGGATCGCACCAAAATACCCTGGTTAGCTGGTCACTCTCATCGACATCATAATCAAAGTGGAATGCAGAGCATGTTTGTTTCTTTCTGAATAGTTTGTCAATGAGCATTTGAGCATCAGCGCCTGCAATGTATGCCTTCAAGTCCCGTTTGAAATTTTTAAAGTCAATGGCAGTGGCACCGACATTATCGTAGCCCCCAACTGATTCCTTAAACAGTCTATATGACTTCATTGGCCCAATGTTCGCCTTTGCACAATTCAACATAAACTTCTTGTGGCCAATTTCTAAGTTTCTGTTGATTTTCAGAAAGGGTCTAGATGGAATGGACAACATTGGATGGTTATGCGTTTCTATGAATGACGATATGGTGTACCCTACACCACCCACGAGCCAAAATGCCACACACGCCTTGCAATCATCACGATTTGAAATGCGTCTCCTCTGTTTTGCCTTTGGCACTCCATCATCGTGAGTGGGTTTGTTAACAATTGGTGCAAAATGTTTATGACCCTCACGGTTGCATACAACGTACCGCCACACAACAATACCTGAAACCTTTAAATTAGTGCTTTTGCGAATATCAAAACCTGTCAGTGAGGCATATTGCTTGTAAAAATTAAATCCGTCCTCCAAGGATTTGAACACCATTCCCACTTTAGGCTTGGAGTCTTCAGGGCAAGGAGGAATAAATAAGTTGGATGAAGAAGAAATAATTTCTGTTGTATGGGGCGTGTCTTCGTTTGGAGAAGTAGATGTGTGCACTGCCGATAGAGAAATAAACGTGTTGATTAATGCACTACTTATATCTGATTATGCAATACAGGATGCAAAACAATGCGAAATAAAGTAACATATATGAATATATAAGCACAGAGGGTCTGCAACATCATGGAGCATGAATTCATGAAGTATTTGAAATTGACCAAAAACATAATGAAAAGAAACCACAAACATACAAAGACCATGATTATGCAATACAGGACACGGAACAGTACTCCAAAAAAACAAATACTTACAAATAATTTGAGAAGGATAAGAGAAGCATTCATGAAACCAAATCAATGGATCATATTTAATGCAGTAAGCAGACATGAAGGTGCAATACTCATTGCATAAAATGCGTAATAGAAATAAAAATAAAAAGCTCAAGCTGTACAAATTTGTGAAGTAGACTTTCATGAAGCTGTGATAATTACCGGGGAATGAATGAAAAGGAGAACACCAAAAAGCCAAATTCTGAACAACACAAATGTTTACATGTAATTTCACCCCGAAAGTAGAAGCATTCGTGAAGTCAACACAAATGTTTATATGAATCCTACGAACTCGAGCAGGTGTGCAAAATTTCCAGACGACATTTGCAAAATTCTAAACATAACAAAACCAAAAAATTAAAACAAACCTGGAACCATGATAAAGAATCGATGAAGCAGCTGGAATCCTAAAATCGGACGATTGAGAGGTTTGTAAAACTAGGAAGTTGATAAATAAGGGAATTCATATCCGCGGAACCGATATGGAGGAAATGGCGAAAGTGAATCCGATCGTGAGCGAGAAATCAGGGATGAGGATGTTTAACGATGTTTAGCGTTTATCACTATGATCGTAAAAAGACCCATATGCCCTGGCGATCAGGTTAAGATCTGATTAGATCGGATGGTTTATATTCATTCTTATTTCTTTCATTAGATTCCTTTCTCACCGGAACCAAACCCTATATATATATATATATATATATATATATATATATATATATATATATATATATATATATATATATATATATATATATATATATATATATAGGG